ATTGAGAAATACATCGTTTTTGTACATAGAAAAACCAAAATACCCTAGTCTTAAGTGAGACAACTGTACGGCGGTATTGACTTTTTATACCCTAACGCAAGCCCAAGCCTAACCAAGCCCAAGCCCCGGCAGATCGTATGAGAATAATCGTAAACTAATATTTAAACCTATTGTAAATGTAGCTATAAGTTTTTGCTACTACCAATTTACAAGATGTGTGTACATTTGAAGGAAAAAGCTTTTACTTTAGTTTAATTATTTGCGTAATTATCACTAAATATTGTTACAAACATATTGCATATTTATAAAAAAAAAACATAAAACCCAATGCAGCAAAATACCATTTAAATATTTATTATGCCAAGTCGCGCTTAAAAACAGGAAATATGCGAACATAAATACGTAAAAGTCCCCCTGATCCCTGGACAAATAGCTAAATGAAAAACCGAACCACAAGTCCCCAAACAGAAGAGAAAATCCACAAAGTACTATCCATGCTAACAGTAAAACTATACGATACAATACAACAATTTATGTGTCTCTGTCTAATTTAAATGTGTGCATTTATGAGATATGACATCAAATCAAAATAAAATATAATATAATATAAACCAAATTGTCTTTGCTTGGAATCTATAACGGGAAAATGGCAATATCCTTATTGTATTTGCTCCCAAGCGATCGGGGATAAGTATAAGTATAGATTAGTGGAAATATATAGTGGAAAATATACTATGTCCTCAAATCGATAAGGACTCTATCAGGTCGAGGATTTTCTTCCGATTACAGGAAGCCGTCACACGCCCCGATCGGACTACAAATAACCGAGAAATCTAAATATGTAAGGCTGAGGATGTTGGAGTCCTTATCCAAGGATCAACCAAAATGTTCCAATCACAGAATGCTGTCGCTCTACTCGATCGGGCCACAAATAACAGAGAAAACAAGATATATGTGATTGGAGAAAATATCCTTGATCCTTGGTCCTTAATAAGTACTCCATCAGATCAAGGATTTTTTTCCGATTACAAGAAGCCACTGCACGTCCAGATCGACCCAAAAATAGCGCAGTAAATACAACTGGCTTGTATTTTCTTATAATTGAAAATGTAGTTGAAGAAATCGCCGATAGGAGCGCCACTGTACAATAAAAAAAAACCAGCGACCTTCTGCTGATTTCTGTTCGCCTGGTATCCCAGATCAAAAATTTTTCTCGTTTTCTGCCTTTTGAGCATCCGAAAATTTAGGTTGTCGTTTTCCAAAATGTTGTTGTTGTTGTCAATTTCTCTACAACAATTTTTTTTTGTTGTACAACAAAAACTCTCAGCTTGGAACTGCTCTAAGGGCTCGCGCACACTGTAGCTGAAAGCGGAGCTGAAAGCGGAGCTGATAGCTTATTTTTCAGCTCTAAAAAAACAAACACACTGCACCGGTGCAAGTGCGCACATTGCAGACTGAGCTGAGCTGAAAGCTGAAAAAGCTCGCTGAAATCAGCTCAGCTTAGTTTGATCGATCAAGCATGTTTGTTTTTTCAGCAAGCTGATTGCTGATTTTGTTCAAGTGTATTGGTTCATAAGTGATCGAAAATGGGCTGCAAAACATTTTTAAGCGAAATTACGGTTAACCCAGCGCTGGGGAATAAGCGGGACTATTAAAAATATTTGAATAATAGTTTTATTTCTATAATTTCTATGAAGGCGATAAATTGGGCAAAAAAGTTTTATTATTTACCATTACCAATGTAATGGAAAAATGTAATAATTCGTAAAATAAAAGTAATACGAATACAAACTCAGCGGAAATCAGCACATCAGAAATCAGCAGAAGGTCACTGGTTTTTGTGATCCCCCAAAAGTATGCAATGCAACATTTTGCATTTGATTAAGCTGCTTTCTCCTGATTTCTGTTCGCCTGATAGCCCAGATCTGAAAATCGAAAATTTTCGTTTTCGATCGCCACCAAAATGAGGGTGGTTGTTGTGGCTTCCTGTAATCGGAAGAAAATCCTTCATCTGATGGAGTACTTATTAAGGACCCAGGATCAAGGATATTTTCTCCAGTCACATATATCTTGTTTTCTCTGTTCTTTGTGGTCCGATCGGGTTGTGCGACAGGTTTCTGTGATTGGAAAAATGTTCTTGATCCTTGGATGCTCCTTGGCCATACATATTTAAATTTCTCGGTTATTTTTAGTCCGATCAGGGCGTGCGACGGCTTCTTATAATTGTTGGAAAATCCTTTCTCTGATGGACCAAGGAACAAGGACATTTTTCTCCAGTATCAGTTATCTTGCTTTCTTCGTTCTTGTGGGCCGATATAGGGCGACGGCTTTCTGAGATCAGGAAAATCCCAGTATACGTATGTATGAGATATTTTTATTGTTATAATATATTATTATAATCTTGTAGTGAATCCTTATCAAGAAATTTTTTTTTCAGCCTTTCTTATTTAGTTTTCTCCGCTATTCGAGATCAGAAAAAAGTCCTGGATTCGATGGTGTCTCTATCAAAGATCAGGATATTTTCCCCAGTCTTACATACTTACTTTTCTCCGCCATTTCTTATATGACCTGGGCGCCCCACATCTGCTCGTGATCGCGAGAATACCCCCCAAACGTTTGGCATTAAGGACAATAAGGATATTGCCTTTCCACCTTTATAAATCGCTATAGCTCCGCCATTTCTTGTAAGATATAGGCGTGCCATGCCTTTTCGTAATCGCGATATTAATAAGAAGTATTAAGAATTTCTGTATATTATTTTAATTTAATTATATATGTAGTTAAAACTGCCATTAGGTTGTCCAATAGTTGGAGAGCAATCAAAGCTGCTTCTGTTCAAGATTCTGTTCGCGTTACTTAATCAACCTACTTGTTAAGCTAAAATTAAGCATAATTCACTTTAAAAGGTGGAAAAGACTACAGTTGTGTTCAGACTTTCCCCGTGTCGACGTGATCATCACACTCAAAGTTGTGTGGATTGCAATGACTGATGGTGCTATAGGATTAATTTCTGGTAAGGAGGTGGTCTCCTCATCATTGGGATCATTTGGCTGTCGCAGCGGCTCTTTATTCGGCTCACACCCTCTGTGGGGAATGTCTAGAAATTATGGCGTGGATGCTGCTTCGGGGATCAGTTTCGACAGCCAAGGCGCCAGCAATTCAGACACGACTGAGTTCTTAGGACCTACCGGCATCAGCCTCTGTGGTTCGATTCGGGGAATGGTTTATCCTACCTTCGACAAGGGGTAGATGAAGTTTTGGGGCTGTATCATCCCACTGCATTCCTGGATTGCTGCTGTAATGTAAAAAGTGCTATGATCTGTCTTTTTGGAACTGTGGTAGAGCTTTTAAATTACTTGCAGGTTGTCCCATGTATATCTCAGTGCTAGGACTCCATCGGGATCCCGTGGTACGATCATATAGAGTATGTATGTCTCTTTAAAAGACACATTTCCTGCAAAAGGCCAAGTCCGAACCAATTCGATCCGGAACGCTTCTCGCCGAAGTAACGTCAGCAGCACCATCCAATAACGTATTTTTCCTTTGATGCTGATCTTAGTTGCTGCATTGGCCCTGGAGCATTGGAGATTAAAATAAGACTCCTTCATATCCTGAAGAGCATTCAGATGAAACTGTGCGAGAGGACGCTGCCGGAGATGGTGTTCAATCTAAAGCATTCATCCTAACTGCAAAATAAGGAACATAAATACCTACGTTTTATGAAGGATACGATTTAAAGTGAATATACAATTCGATATACATATGTAGTAACTTTTCTGTTGTTGTTTGTACTATAAACTTCTCGCAAGATCAGTTCATAAATATGCACACAAAGTCGACAGTTTAGTTTACCCAATAGCTGAGGCCATGAGTAGAGTCTATTAAAAGGTGTTTTCCAGAAGCTAATTAAAAGATTCAGTCAACTTAAACTATAATAATATAACCTCTAAACAACAATAATAATATATACAATATACCATAATAAATAATACAAAATAGCTAGACTTTACGGAAAAGAGCTGGTGAGGTAACACTGATTGGAACTGGTTTCAAATATCGCGCACAATTAAAATGCTTTACAGCACTAGTCTCGTATCCAGTCGATAGTATCGATAGACAAGATCCAATAACAGCAAGTTTTTAAAAAAAGCAAGTCAATTAGAAAATAGGTTCATGAATTGAATTGGATAAAATTATGTGGGCAGAACTAAAGATTTAATTAGCCAGAATTATTCAACGGAATATCAAAATCCAGATATATGTAAAATATAACTTGAATTCGTCAGTATATTTACAGTATATTTTGAAAATGAGACCGTATATTTCTGTATTTATTTGAATCGGGTAAGGATCTATTTTACCCGGCTGACAACAATGAGTCCCGACAACACTATTTTTCATACACTAGAGAAAATTATATAGTAGAATTGAGAAAATTTTTGTCATCCGAGGCTCCGTAGGTTACAAGATACTAATCATATGCATGCATATGTCTAAAACATATAAATTCGGAAAAATTTCTTTATTAATTATGTTTTAAAAACAGTTCAAAATCTTCATATTAGATTAACGAAATATGGTATACAAAGGCATTTTCTCGCATCATGCCTTCAAATACCAGCAACATTGCGACTGTTTTTCTTTTTTCTGTTGAACTATTTTTCCTAAGCCTTGTTTAAGCCAAAATACAATAAAAGCAAGGACTAATAAATTGCCAATCTTTAAATTAAGCTATTCATCAATGGTCTAAAATTATGTGGGCAGAACTAAAGGTTTTAGTTAGCTAGATTTATTCAACGGAATATCAGAATCGAGGAATATGTAAAATAGAACTTGAATTCGTCAGTATATTTTCGGTATATTTTTAAGATGAGAGCGTCGGACGGTATATTTTCACGATAAAGGTCACACTGCTTGAAGGAGTAGTTAGGTAAATGAAAAAAATTGTTTAAATCCAAAATTGTGAAAAACCAGTGAGCACAAGAAGTACTATAATAAGAAAAACACACAGCCTGCTGCATGCCCCAGCTGAACAACACCATTGACAGCTTGTTGTGGTCAGTGCGACGGAAAATAGTCAAGCCGATGCTGGCCGATTACACAACACCTGGCGCAGCGTGAAAAATGGGAGAATTATGCGAAGAAGCCCGAACTGGCAGCACAAACTGTGGCTAAACAGAAGGCTGGGGTGCCGCGGGAATGCCTTGATGGTCATGCGACTATGCAAATACAGTGATTTATATATCACGTAGTACATCAAGTGTTACATAACCTAGTGCCTCGGTGCATGCATCATGAACTCACCCACTCTCTCTGTGTCTGTCTTCCAATTGCAGCAACTGCGATAGAATGGCTCTCAGACTAATCAACCACGCTATGCTCCGCCAGCTGGCCGCTCAGTTGCCCCGCAACGCCCAGGTGGGCAGCGTTGCCTCCGTCCACACCCTGGACAAGATCGGCAAGCGCGAGGTTGTCGGCTACGGGTGGAACGGCACCGCTTGCTACGCCGACCGTGTGGACTACCCCATGCCGGCTGTGCGCTTCCGCGAGCCCAACAACGAGATCAACGCCCTGCGCGCCAAGGAGCAGGGTGACTGGAAGAAGCTGAGCCCCCAGGAAATCAAGGCCCTGTACCGCGCCAGTTTCTGCCAGACCATTGCTGAGGTCCAAGCCGGCACTGGCGAGTGGAAGCAGCACTTGGGCGTTAGCCTGCTCTTCTGCGCCGGAGCCATCTGGATTGCCATCCTGATGAATCTGTTCGGTGAGCCATCGCATGTCCTGAAATGATAAAAAGGATTCAAACATTTGCTTTTAGTCTACGACGAGCTGCCAGTTACCTTCGACGAGGAGCACCAGAAGGCACAGCTGAAGCGTATCATTGATCTGGAGATGAACCCCGTGACTGGTCTGACCTCCAAGTGGGACTACGAGACCAAGCAGTGGAAGAACTAAGTCCGCAATTCCAGATAGCCCCCTGTGTGTGACAGTAATTAAGCAGACTTCGATGTTTATTAAGTGGAACCCAAGATAGTTACAATTAAAGTTGTGGCCGCTGCTGGCTAAACTGAAATTCGAGAAGCTGGTCCCTCCGGAGTATGCATCTGATTAGGAGCCCGTCAGTCCTTGTAATGTTCATACGTTTCATCGTTGCAAATCGTATGCAGCAAAACAAGATGCTGCTTCGTATAAGCCTTGAACTCTTCCACCGCGGGTGCGGGTAGAATTGCGCCTGCAGGGTTTAACTTATTCCGGAACCCACTCCAACACAGCTGCGCGATATTAGGGTAAAATTCCTTTATATGCTGTACCAAACGCTTTGGGCCGAACTTTTCCAGTTCTTCAGCGGTAAACACATCCGCCTCGGAAGTGGCTTTACAGGCAACGCCGAGCATCATGGAGGCATACAGCAGCCAGGATATAGTAGACATCTTTCAGTAGCTGTGGACAGTCGCACAATACTAAAATGAATCACCACGTTTACGATTTGTCAGCTTGCATTTAAGCGTTTAATTGGGATTAGTTAATGTGTTTATATTTATCGCATGCTTCAGCTAATTTCTTTGATATTGCAGATAGCCTCCGCAGCAGACTTTCCCTATGTATAAGCATCATTGTGTCCGTGTCGCTGCAAGTCTCGGCCAAGGATGGATAGTTGTCCAGCAGCCATTGCCTCTGCACTTTTAGGTCTCCCTTGGGCAGTACTTCGGCCAAAGCCCCAGAAATGGCCACCACTAAAAGAAACTGTCAGCAAAAGTTAGGATTGCGAACACCCACAGCTGAGCAGAAAAACACTCACCACCTTGACCAAACTATTCATTTTAAATACGAGTAGCTTCTGTTTTGAAGCAACTATTTATGGGTTACAGAATTTGAAATTTGGCATGCATTTTGCATTTCAGATCAATCAGTGATGCCTGCGCCGGTGATGTTTTGACCTTCGGATTGGGATTTGTCGCACTTCTAGAATATTCTTTGCCATACCATCGATCGTGGAAAGAATCTCCTTAGTTTTCTCTGGGCCCGGCATCGGCGCTGTTTCACTGCCAGTCAAAAAGCATGATGATTACATTTATTGGGGAATTTAAATGAATTTTTTACTTACAGATGCGATTTCCACTCGTGAACCTTTAGGAGCCTGGCCTTGGTCTCCATTTCTTGCAGTTGCTTTAGCTTTTCCTGATCAGTCAAGGGCCCCTTCGTCGTTCCATGTGTATGGTCATGGGGCGGGGTAGTCTTGGGCAAGTCGGGCCTAGTATCCATTTTATAACTGAAAGGCACAGAAATGATTTTAAGGTCCGACTTCAATGCAGCCCAAAGTACTACTCACTGAGAGTACCAATCGTAGCCCTTATACGGGGGTCTATGCATGTTGTGTTTGCGCCTGTGATGTGGTCTATCGTTGGGCGAATGAATCAGATAATTGGTTTCCTGTGCATAGGCATCGCCACAGCACGCATAGATGTGGATGCAGAATAGGAAGACCAAAAACATCATGATATGGCTTAGTCCACTCCGATGTAAGCCATCACTGTTTGCGATCTTCCATACATTTCCTGGGGTGAAACATTTTGGATTAGTTATCAAATAAGTGAAACTAATTTGATTATATTTCCTAATAGTCTAAGACCTTAGGTTAGTGACATGGTGGTATGAAATCTACTACTACCACTCGAGTATACTCGTAATCTACTAAATTCTAGGATGAAGTATCTAGAGTATTAAGCAATCTGAAAGTAGGCAAGCTTTCCGCTCTCCAAGTGACCATTATTTTCAAGGGTCGCAAACATTTATTTATTGGATAGATAGCAAATGATCTTATTCTATAGATCGCTTCTAGATCCAACCTTCTCTAACTATCCTTGACTATTGGGGCGATTATTTTCTTGATGAGCCCTCATACGTGGCTTCAAATGACTCCAGGCCGCCTCTCTTTTGATATTGTGGAAGCCATCGTGGGCGCGTACGTGGCGCACCTTTGCCAGGGCCGTCTGTAGGCCCAGGAACAGAGCAATCTGTTGGTGGAATTGGAGGCTTCTTAGGAGCTCTACAATTCTGTAGAAACCAGGACGCTTACCCAACAAAAGAAACACAACCGCATGATGGTCCCCAACAGTGTTAGTCATCACTGCACCCGATCTTCCATACATTTGGCATTGGGGCGTAACATTTGGCATTAGTGTGGGAATACCCATGCATTTGTCCATTCGTTGCGGAACAAATTCAAATAATTTAAATAATATATTGCTTACAAGTTGCTCTCCTTCGGGGAGCTCTCTCTAGCTAGACTTCCAAATAGCGATCCACCGGATTCCAGCAGAGGGAAATGGTTTTAGAAAATGCTACTACTTTTACTAGCTGTGGTAGTAATGTATTCAAGACAAGTACCTATTAAGCAATCGGAAAGTGCAAATTAAACTATTAATTAATCATAGACAGACAGATGAGCAAGGTTTCTGCTTCCCATTGTATTCAAAGGCGCTTTCAATGCATTTATTGGATAGTAAATGATCTTGTTCTACAGATAGCATGCAGATCGGACCTTCTCTAACTATTATGCAGGAGCAGTAGTAGTAACAGCCTCAGAAGCAGCAGTACTATCTTTATTGACATTACTAAAAGGAAGAGTATATCCGTGCTTTTCCATTTGGTAGTGCCACCTTTTCCACAATTTCGCTATTCCTTCTTTCCGTTCTTTAGCCATTTTGTCGCTGTCAGCATCGGCCAAGTTGGAGCTAAACTTCCCTGATCCGCCTCCTTTTTCGCCTCCTTTATCGCCTCCTTTTTCGCCAGTCCTTTTGTTGGCACCTTTGTCTGCCTGTACGCCCAGGAACAGGAAGAACGTAATCTATATGGGAATTGAAGGGTTTTTTAGAAACCTTGGGATTTTCCAAGGCAGTAAGACGGTGGCGTACCAAATAAAATAGACACAAACGCATGATGTTCCCAATAACAACCGTTTTCGAGTGAAAATTGAACCGTATTTCACATTTATTTATTTATTTCGCCTACGTTTCCAATCAATTTAATTTGTCATGCCGCTACCCCACCAACACACCCCCAGGTGTTTCTGATTCGATCACTGATGCAGAATGGTTACTTAGCTTGTGGCTTATTCCACGCCGATGTTGAATATCAATGGATTACATTTCTTATAATTATACAGATACCCGCGGACCTTTTCTATCATTGGCTAATTCTTTTCCCCGTGGCCAAGTATATCTTTCCTATCTTCATTTCCTCTCTTACCCAACAAATAAACACATAAACAAATGAAATCGTATGCTGTTCCCAACGACAGTTGTCTACGAGTGAAAAACAACCACAGTTCACTTCATTTCGGATACGATACGAGTCTGTCTAATTTAATTTGTCATGCCACCGCACCCGAGCGCTGAGTAATCTTTAAACTTCGCGCCGCCGCATTCCGGGTGTCCGTTCACTGAAGAATATCGTTGTCTGTGGTAAAGCGATCGTTCCAGTGCGACCAGTACTTTTCCGTTTTCAAGCTGTCGAAGCCATCGTGCGCCTTCACGTGACGGGAGCCGGGCTTGTGGGAGGGCCCCGGACTCACATACGGATCCCCGCCATTATTATACTCCGGTAAGTAGGTCATCAGATCCATTAAGCCAGTGGTGGTGGGGGGTACAGTGGGTGGACTGGGATTCGTCCCTGGAGTGTTCGGATCGTGCGCACCAATTGTGGTCGGCGGCGTAGACTCCGTCACTACCTCCTCGTCCATTCCGTTGGCACCTGCCTCGTCATCTGTTGCATCGTCTGTTCCGGTCTCTTCCTCTGCCGCCGAAGGTCCCTCTCCCGCCGGCGCCTCTTCTTCAAATTCATCTCCCGCCGGCGCCTCTTCTTCAAATTCATCTCCCGCTGGCGCCTCTTCAAATTCATCTCCCGCCGGCGCCTCTTCTTCAAATTCATCTCCCTCTGGCGTTTCTAGTTCAGCTGCATCTCCGGCAGGCGCCTCTGCTGCAGCCGCATCTCCGGCAGGCGCCTCTGCTGCAGCCGCATCTCCAGCAGGCGCCTCTGCTGTAGCCGCATCTCCGGCAGGCGCCTCTGCTGTAGCCGCATCTCCGGCAGGCGCCTCTGCTGCAGCAGCATCTCCTGCAGGCGCTTCTGCTGCAGCTGCATCTCCCGCAGGCGCCTCTGCTGCAGCCGCATCTCCCGCAGGCGCTTCTGCTGTAGCTCCATCTCCCTCAGGCGCCTCTGCTGCAGGCGCATCTCCAGCAGGCGCCTCTGCTGCAGCCACATCTCCCGCAGGCGCCTCTGCTGCAGCCGCATCTCCCGCAGGCGCCTCTGCTGCAGCCGCATCTCCCGCAGGCCCCTCTGCTGCAGCCGCATCTCCAGCAGGCGCCTCTGCTGCAGCCACATCTCCCGCAGGCGCTTCTGCTGCAGCCGCATCTCCAGCAGGCGCCTCTGCTGCAGCCACATCTCCCGCAGGCGCTTCTGCTGCAGCCGCATCTCCGGCAGGCGCTTCTGCTGCAGCAGCATCTCCTGCAGGCGCTTCTGCTGCAGCTGCATCTCCCGCAGGCTCCTCTGCTGCAGGCACTACTTCCTTTGGTGGCTCGTTTTGTGGTTCTTGTGCTGTAACCGCCGCCAAGTGGACCAGCAACAGCAAAAGTATTCCCATCTGCAAAGATACCATCCATTACGAGTCCGCAGGTCCTAAAAAGGTCACCCCCTCCTTACCGTTTTGCGTATCGTCATGTCAACGTCAGGCGTTGCATATGTGTCATTCGATGGAACAAGCCGCAAGCCGCTGGGCAAAGCCACCTTTATAGGTGGGGGCGCAGGCCCATCCAGACGCAGGTTTAATTGATTACCAAAACTCATGGGTGCCCTATCGCTCCGTTTGAAATTGATTAAAAGCGTCGTTCTGCTCTGCATTTTAACGACCGGCGCGAATGCCGAACGCAGGCGAGGGAATCGCCCCAAAGACGCTCACAAGACGCGTGCAGCACCTGATGGATTTCTGCCTGTGGCCGGGTTTTCCTACTCGACTGTCTGTTTGTCTGTCGCTTCCATTCCATTCGATTCCGATTCTGAGTGTGAGTGTGAATGAGTAAGTGAGGCGTTGATTACTGCTCGTACTACTCGCATTGATTCGCCTGCAATTTCCATAAACGTGGGAGATGCTGGGGCTATAAAAGCCACAAGCCGCGGCGATTCCACCAAACAGTACAGATTGAGAACCATCCCGAGATGTTCATTAAGCTCTTGCTACTCAGCCAGGTAAGTCGAGCTTGTACTTCTGGCCAGAACATTCCACTGACTGCTTCTCTCTCTTCTTGTAGCTTCTGGCCCTCTGCCTCTGTGCGCAGTTGAGTCTCGACGAAGGCAAGGCGGCCGTCGATGCCTCAGTCTACAGCGATGAGGAGACATTGGACGATGTTCATCCTTCCCCCCACCAGTACGACCCCCACCACAAGGTTCCACATCACGGGCCAAAGGTGGAGACTCCTACCCCGGTGCCCGAAACGACCACAGTGCAGCCGCAGCTTGTGCCGGAGAACGATGGCACTGCCGCTCCGGAGGAGGGACTGCAGCAACTAGACGATGGAATCGGCCAACAGAATGATGGCTCTGCAGTTCCGGTATCCACAACGACGCCCGAACCAGAGCCAGAGACAACCACTCCTACAACAACAACGACAACAACAACGCCCAAGCCGAAGAAACATGAGTCCCATCCGCATCCGCATCCACAGCCGTACCCTCTTCCTCATCCATTCCCTTATCCTCATCCCCACTCGCATCCGTATCCCCCCCATCCGTATCCTGGGCTGGTGTTCGGACCAAAGCCAGTGCCCGGCTCGGAGGAGTCGTCTCCTGCTCCCAAGGAAACCAAAGAAACCAGCAATGAATCACCAGAGCCAACTGCCTATCCTTCTTATCCATCGTATCCGCCCTTCCGGCCACCGTACTCCCCCTTTCCAGCCCCAACTTTCCATCGCCCTGGACCTTATCCGAGCTTCCCGGGATTCGGACCCGCTCCGGGCTATGGATTCCGTCACGAACACCATCCCAAGGAAGGCAAGGATGACTCCTCCGATGAAGAGCCGATGGAAAAGAGCAAGGGAAACGAGAAGTCCGATGAGGTAGAGGATGTGGCACTTAGGCCCCCGGGGTATGGCTATCCACAGCTTTACATCGTGCCACGTCGTCCCGTGGTTTACTCCAGTCCGGGCCGTGGCTATGGCTCCCCCTACGGCGGATACGGACGCTACTAAAGCACCGTAAAGCACCTCCTGCCCATCTCTTGGCTGTAAAAATGTAAACACTCAGATCTTAAATATATATACTCGTAATTACGTATTTTGTACGCTCTATAAGTATTGAATTTATTGATTTCCCTGTCGTTCGGTCGATCGTCTATGGCTTTTCACCGTTCTGATAACCCCGAGGCGTTGGTTCTCTCACCTTGCGGTTTTCCAGTCAAACGGGTTGTGGAGAGGCATCGTCGTCAGACTTAATTGCCATTGCATTCCGCATCGGGCACTCACAGTTCCATCGACTATCGCCGGAAAGAGACGTACAGCTCTCGGAAATGTTGCTCCCTTGCGTGCTGCTGCTAATCATTGGCCATGGGGTGAGTGCACAATCAAAATGGAATACCAGAAGTTCTCTACTTAATCTCTCCATCATTTAGCTTTGCCACACTTTGCCTCAGCAGAAGCTACGGGTTATACGCGATACAAGAAATCTACCAACAGATCTGTTCAAGCCAGTTGGAAACGGAGGCGGTAAAAAGTCGATCCCGAATGAAGGACAGAATGGTACTGTCATACTAGAGCCCACAGATGGCGTGGAGTTCCTTGAGGTAAGAGGAAACAAATCTTTCGAGGCATAGCCCTTTCTTAAATCCACTTATTTGCCTTCTCAGAAAACCGAAGGTGAAGTCGCCGCTGTCTCAGAATCCGAAGAATCTGAAAGTAATCCCCCTTGGCCCAACTATCCACATAACTCTTTCTTTTCCAGTAATTTTCCACCGGTATATTTTTTGAAACTATTCCACTCTACTTTTGCTCTCTAATTCTTAAAATTTTCCTTGCAGCCACCTGTTTTCAATGGAAGAAACCTGATGTTTCCTCCCAATAATATTCGCCCCAACCCCAGCCCCAGCTTCAACGGGAATAACTTTCCGACGAGTTCTTTCCCCAACAATCCCAACACCTTTCCCCCATTAAGTGGCACATTTCATAGCTCGGGACTGGATCCACGTTTCGGGGTACCTTATCCATCTGGAACTTCCAGGAATCCCGTATTTTCTGGCGGCTACGGTGGTAGTCCCAGTTCTGTATGTATTTTAATGCGATTTTTACTTTCTATAGCTTTAATATATAAACTATTTCAACTTTTCCAGATACCTTATCCCTCGGGTGTTAGTTCCATGACGCCCTTCTTTGCTGGCAGCGGCCCCATTGGTAGTTCGTCAAGCAATTTTCAACGCTCCGAGCACTATAGCTACACCTCCGATGGCAATGGACCGCCACAGGTCGAGCACAATGTGTTCGACTCACGGACGCCAAGATTTGGTTCTTCGTCCATGAGTCACTTTTAATTCTAGAGTATCCGCTTAAAAATAAATTAAATTTGCCAGTAATTTCAATGCATTTCCGTACGAAACCAATATAGTTTTCCCTTCAATCATTCAGCTGTTATCTCTCAGGTATGTCCAGTCTCCAGATTTCCATCAAGTTTTTGGAAACTTCTGCGATTGAATGCATCAGCGTGTCAATAAATAAATGCCATAGCACTGAAGAATATTCTTTAAATACTATTCATACCACAGATATTTATCTGCATCTGATCAGATGGTATTGATGTGGCCCTGGATTTTCCGTAGTTATACTTTAGTCCAGGACGCCAGCTTTTATTATAATTAGTCTTTATTTATGAATATTATTTAAGATTAGTTATGATTACTATGGTCGCTGTGCTTTAAATATATTTAGATTAATACCAATATTTGCGCTCGTAATTTGCGTGTGGCTGAGTGAGACTTTGGCACCGAATAAAATGGCGTCGATCGTTGAGGCTGTGTTCTCTCCTCTCTTTGTTCGACGGCCGCTTCTAGTCTCTCTCTCTCTGTTACTTGCTCTGTTATCTTTACAGACTCTGTTGCTCGCTGTGGCTTCCCACCAAATCCCACATTGATTCTCTTCTTCGACAAGTGGTCATATTTGGTATTGCCTGACAGACCACGTAAGTCGCCTAGCGCCTTGCGCTGTCAGTACTAGGATTTTATTTCGCGGTAGCTTAGATTCGGCCTAAAGGGGCTTCCTACTATTATGACCGGTTGTAAGGCGATCATTAGTTTCCTCGAGCTATTTTCATCACCAAGGACGTATTCAGCTAGGAGTTCTGTGAATAAAATATGCATATCTCCTTATAAACTAACATTTTTGTCTCTTATCGTAGAGGTAGGGCGCTCTTTTGGGTATCTGCAGGTATTTATTTTAATGTGATCGCTCTTTCTGTGGTCACAATCTTTGCTTACACCTCAAGTAGTTTTTTAAACGGCCTTTTCTTATGAAAATCTATATTGTTCATATGTGCAGCGTATTCATTTGTTAAAATCGTTCGATGGATGTTTAGTAGAAATCGTACCCATGTTCAGCATCAGTGCAAAACATAATAGGGATTCTTACAAGACAATCAAAAAGTACTTTCTGCAATCAGAGCATATATTGAAATACATTCTGCATTAATTTATTCCATTAATTCTTAAAGATAACACAAACAGATATTAAAACTTTTTCTGCTTGAAGATCGTGCCATGTATTTTGTAGGTATATACAAATTTGAAAAGAATTATGTGTTTCGTTTGTTTCTACCGCTATATAACATTAACTAAAATAGATAATCACTATCGAACAGCATCGATAGCTTATCAATCGTATCCTTTTCGTTTTTGAATTTATCGAACCAATCGAGAAATTCTGTTCTCCTCTGGAGTTTGCTCGGCGACATTCCACTGATGTAGGACTCCACCTGCTCTTCGATTCTCTTAAGTGCAGTGTCGAATCGCTTGAGCAGAGAGCTCTCGAAATCATCGATGCCATGCTCTTGGAGCAGTCGCATGACCATTCGATCCGCCTCTGAATCCAGCTCTGCAGAGTCCTTCAGCTCGAAGATATCCGAGAGATAGTCGAGATCGGTGGCCAAAAGCTCCAGTTGCACCGAGTCATCCATGTCGATCTCCTTTACGAGATCCACAAACTCCCCAAAGGCGTCCAAGATCAGACTCTGAGTGTTCGGTGGCATAAAGAGCTCTGCATCGTCGATCACTCGCTGGAGCAGTCTTGCGGTCTCCAGGAACGAAGTCTCTACCATAGAGACGATCTCGTTGGTCATATAGTACGCCAGCTGAGTGCTGCTCGTAATGGGAGCCCCGCTCTGAAGGAGGCATGCAATATTAGACACTACACCAAGAGGAATACAGATAGAGAAATGGTGACATTCTTACCGCAAATTGCAATGCTGCCAGGACTATGATGGGGCGCCACATTCTGATGACTGACGCTTGAGTATGGCTCCAATGCTATGAACAACTCCATTGCGTGGGAGGCGCCTTTTATAAGCCCCACTCGTTCTGTGATGCAATCGTCTATTTAAAAGATGAACAAAAAAACACACTACCGCCCCGATAATCATCGTGGAACCAACGGCATCAGCAGTCTGTACGTAGCAATAGTCTATAATCATCAGTCCTCAGACATTGCCTGTCGTGATAAGAACGTTCATTTCTCTTCAACAGAAATCAGAATTCCGAGAAAATGCTGCTGCCCATTGGAATATTCGTCATTGTACTTCCATTACAGGTAGGTATTGTCGCCAAAAACCGTTTATTAAACCTATTCTAACAATGACTTCAGTTTACAGCTGCCCCCCCATCGCGAGGCGACAGTCTGAGAGAATTACGCAAGCTAATGAGACAGCAGGATGATGAGCGGCAACAGCCAGTGGCAGCATCTACACCCAGAACATTTCAAAGTGAAAATCAGTTTAATGAAGACATCAGTCAGTGGCTGCTGTCCCTGGAGCACTTGGGACTCGAGATCTTTCAGTTTGTGCAGCAGTGCCGCCAGCCGGGGAGTCAATGCCAGCAGAGACGTGTCCATAGGAGGTTTCGATCTCTAAGGCATGGCTATACGGAGCTAAGGGCTCAATTGGAGGCCTTGGAGGTGAGCTACGTGGGCAGGATGAGCAGCGAAGAGGCCTGGACTCTGGAGAGCACTATTCAGAAGGTAAAATTGGTTCTCAGGCAATACGACGAGACCTTGCGGCTGATCAATGGCCAGATCTTCAAGTTGGTGGATCAATAATCACTAATTTAAGGTAGGAAAATATTTACCCACAAATGGGATGAACTTAGAGAATATATTTCAATCGATTGCCCATTCCAAAAACCACTAAACAGAGATCCAAATGCTCATCAAAACTATTTTTAATTAAACTAAAATTGCCCTTGAAAAATAGGAAAAGTTCTTTTCAAAGCCAAAGCGAGACTGCTTTAAACAATTTAAACTTCTTTTGCGTATCTCTAAAGCGACCCCCATATGCCCGTGGCCACACCCTCGATGAGAGCCTTGGCCAGTTTCGTGTAGTCCATCAGCTGGAGTTCTGGTATCTGGGCCTGCAGACTGCGAGGGAACTCAATGTAGGACATCACCACACTGTCCTGCTGTTGGCCTGCCCACCGGGTGACATTGGCTATTAGCTCGGGCCTCGATTGATGGCTGCGTTGCAGATACTTTTCCAACGGTGGTCGCACCTTGTGGAAGAAGTTCCGTATGGCCGCCTTCTCGCCGGGAAGGACTTCCAGGAGCAGCTTGTCGGGCCGCTGTTGGGCCATCAACTGGCTGTTTATCCACGCAAAGATGTAGTACGCCGTGCTGTAGTAGTCCTCGTTCCCCAAAGTGCTATCCAGATCGTCAAAGTACTGCTTATCGATGGCTTCGCTGTCATTGAGGTGTGGCAGTCGCTGGCGTGCATCCTCGATGGTGGAATGCAGTACCTGATTGTACAGCCGCTCGACGGCCTCTGCCACGGGACGTGCAAGGGGATTGTAGCCCCTGGAACTATCCGCCGTTGCCTGATAATCGAGTAATCGAACAATCAATACAGTACAGAATTCTTATCTAATCAAACGGTGACCAGTCAGTCACTCACCAAGCAGATAAGCCCCAAAGCACAGCAAGCGATGCTGATAAGGAGTAGCAGACTCCGCTCTGATCTTGACATGTTTCCGCAATCGCTGCTCAACGGAGACTGAATCCACAGATCGAACCTCAGCCTCAAACCCCAAGCCCAAAATGTACCTTTGCATTTGCAGTGTGTGTTTGTAGTTTTGTTTTTATTAAGCCATAAGTAGAAAATAGTATGTGTCGACTATAACATTCAAATTTTCTGTAGACATGAGCAAAGTAATGGCCATAAATGATCCGCAAATTGAAGCTAGCTCGAAAAAAAGATGCTGTATCCCACCGCGCACACAGTACGATTAATAATATACACACACGATTATCGCTAAGATACATACATCCAAATATCAATTAGGTTTATAAATTGCATGTCTTACTCACTATATACTTAGGAATATGAGTACTGTATGTATGTCTGTCTATTTATTTGCCCGCGTTTTGCTACTGCGTTTTTGTACAGAATCGGTTGAATCTCGAGGGGAAGGTGGAACGTCTCTCTCTCTCTCTCTCTATCTCACTATCTCTGTTTAGCTTAACGAGTTTGTATTCAGCAATTTTTGGGGTAGATCCGAACTCAAATGATCTTAAAATGATACAGATATCATTTAAGAAGGAGTCACATTTCTTTTTCTGTTTCAATTCTTTTTATACAAAATATAAAGATTGGGAGATTTAGAAATTCATTATTCTCCCGCTTTCTGGTGATTTATTGATTTATACTCACATTTCTCGTTCAGCTTCTGCTTCCCTCAGGCATACATTAGAAATAATCTATACAATTAATATTTCTCCCTTCTCCTATATTTATACAGAGATTTGCTTGCTGAACATCATAGTTCTCCTCCTAGAATAGTGATACAGACATCTATTTCAAGTGTATCTTTCGCAATTCATGCATTTACGCTTTCTATATTCAAAGGAAAATATATTTCTACGCTCAGCGTCTCTTTGAAGGTCTTCCACTTTCTTCAACTTTCATATTTGGCATTTGGATATATAATATATATGTAGAACCAATATTCTAACAACTATTAGTTTCCTTAGACTAAAAAATGTTTACTTTATTTATTTAATACATGTTCTTAATGTTACATTTAGAATCGCACGCTTTATCCTCGAGTATGGCAAATATTTGCTCTGTATCGAACTCTTCGGAAAATCAAAAACAAAATTTGAAAAATTGACACAATTATTAAGATTATGATTATCTATTCCTACAACATTGACCTTTGACATTGACATTACGTATAATCCAATATATGATGTTTAAGAAACGTTTTTGAAACAGTTTTTGTTTAGCTCTGCTGAAAGGTGGAGAGGGACGACAACGGCAACAATTGTGCAGGTTGTTTGTGTATTTTATTGTATTGTAGGTACATTTTGGTTATTTTTCGAAGAACATTCCGCACTGAAACACCGAGTTTTATTTATGTATATTTGATATAACTTTCGATATATTCGATATATGTATGTATTGTATTTATTACAGCTGGTTTTTCTGAGCATTGTACTTTAGTTTTGTCGGTTAACACATTTATAATTCTGTATTTCAATTGATTTCTGGTTGGATAGCAGCCATTTGTTAGAGTTTAAAGTTTTTACACCTAAAGCATTGCATGAAGCTACACAATTAATGCTGCATATTTGTTCTTTATATTTTTACGAGTTTTTCAAGGTACATCTGACGTCTTGCTCTTGGGGGTTCGGTTTCCCCCAGAGTTCATAATAATCGAAAAATAATAATCCAAAACTCAACACAAAAATAACTCTTAAATATGTGTTTAATGTGTTCTTACAGCTATATCTTTTATTTAGTAATTAATGTAAAAATAGTTAGTATGCTTTTTGTTAGTAAGAAAATATATATTCATATTCATATTTTAAATTCTGTTATCTAGAAGACAGTCCATGGAGTAGAGCTTACAAACTAAATTCTGAGATATCCAAAGAGGGGGAAAAGGAAACTATTTTTGGGGGGTGAGATTTTCTACATTTTGAAAAGCGGTACTTCAAAGTGGTTGGAATGTATCTGTATCTATAGACACTGCCACACTGATTCAAGCTGATAGTATCTTTATCTCAAGCTGAAAATATGCTCTGTATATGCATCTACGATCTGATCTCTGCAAAAGTTATACGAATATCGACACGAATACATTTTCACTTACGTTTCTAACTAGAACTAGTATATGTTCTATATGTAATAGGTATATTTGTTGTAGTATCCTTTAGCTAGCCTACTTTTCACCCACATCGCGACGGCCTTCCTTTGCCTGGAACTGAAGCTGAAGCCGGCTCTTACTTATACCTTCCTTCAACTTTTGAGGGGATCTCTTCACTTTTGAACTTTTTGGATTTTATTTCATGGGGAATATTGTCCTCAAAGCAGATTATGTCATAGACCATAGCCACCTTCTCTTCCTTATAGGATAAAACACTTACATTTCCACTTAAACACTTCATACGATGAAATTTTTCATACGCTTCTTGTTTTCCGGGAAAATAATAGACAGAGAATATGTATGTTGTTGTTTATTTTAGTGTGTGATTTATTTGTGTGTGAAAATTATACATAATAAATGTTAAGTCAAAAATGCAGTTCCGTTTTGTTACAAATAAAAACTAAAACTAAATTAAATGCAGAGTTTTTGTGAAGAACTGAGCAAAGGATAGCCGGAGGCATCCGAAGGAAACAAATGTTACAACAGAGAATCGTGTGTTTAAAAACAACTGAAAGATAGAGTATATCTTTAAAACGATAAACCCCTTTGAAGGGGAGTATACAATCAATGTATAGCCTCCTCAAAGAGGGATTTATTCACTGAAAGATACATTTAGAAGATATGCCCTTCAAGGACGAATCCATCCACTAAAAGATACATTCGGAATATATCCTCCCTAAAAGACGAACAACAAAAGATAGTAGAAGGAAAAACTGTTTCACTTTTTATCACAATTGCGTATGAAAAATTTCTTTAATTGCTAGAAACTGCCACGCCCACCACTGCCACTGCCACTGCCCCCGCTGCCGCTGCCGCTACTGCTGCTGGTCGCCTGGGGCATTAGTATCCGTGGCAGGGTCATTGAACGCTTGGGACAGCCATGCCTGCCACCACTTGCCTCCGGCTCTGACGGCGTCGCCGCTATCGGAGTGGCAGAGCCCCTACGTTCTTCGGTTTCCATCTGCTCCTGCTGCCTGGGCTTCTTGGGGCCATCGTCTGGCTGCTGTGGCGAATGTCACGCATACGACTGTGCCGTCTGTGGCATCATGCCCGAGGGGTAGCCACCCTCCAGTCCTGGCGGTCGTTCCACCAGATTCTTTAGTCGCCCACGCAGCTCTTCGAGGCTCTTGGACTTGGCCTTGTTGATGCGCTTGTATTTGACGTCCTTGGGCTTGGTCACCGATCGATGGTTCAACATCACACGATTGTAGGAGAGTACCTGAGGAACAAGATTTCTGATGAGTGACAATTCGAAAGCGTGAATAAAAGACTTTGTTTCAATACCTGATTCTTGCCATTGAGCGGCTCCTGCTGTGGCTGCTGTGCCGACGGCTGTAACTGCGGCACTTTGACACTCACTGTGGTGCACGGGGCATCGTGGCTGGGGGATCGCTTCAGGGCTCCCAGCTGTCGACGCGGAATCGCAGGCCCTCCTCCTCCATCCACACTCATCGACGACTCTTTGGCTTTTTCTGCGCTGGCAGCCGCCGTGGGGCTGACGCCATCGATTTGTCCCTCGGTGGAGCTGGAGCTCAAGGCCTTGTCCGACCGATTCTTGAATTTGTCCCGCTTCTCCGCCACATCGGGTGTGGGTTCGGGGTCCTCTTCCACCGAATAAACCGTCTCCAGGATGTCAGGACGTCGCAAGAAGCAATTGTTCCTCCGTGCAGCTCCATATTTGTTCAGATTCGTTTCAATTGCATCAGATATCGAACGGACTATAGTGATGCCATCACTTCCCAGCACTCCACCGCCTCCACTGCTCCTCCGTCGCGTGCCCAATGTCATGGTGCTGTCCGAATCAATGTCCTCCAGCACCACCGCCGAATCCGAGTCGTTCAGGGAGTCCAACTCGTTGGCATAGCTCGCATCGATCGTCTCCAGTCCGTGATCCACCAGCCGCGAGGACAGCGTATCGATGACCTTCTGCTGGCGTGCGATTGTCAGCTCTCGATGGTTGAGGAGGCTGGCGATCTGTTTCTGCTTTCGCTTCAGGCGGGACTCCAAGAGCAGCAGCTGGGAGGTCAGGGAGTTCATCTGATCGGATTTCTCCTTCTGATAGCGATAGTGCTGCTGCACCTGATGATTAGGGAATGATATGGTGAGAGCTGTTATAATATTTTGAGGATTTCGTGGCCCTTTGAGTCTTTTGCCTGCATAAATGAATCCTGTTTTTAGGATTGTTTGCAATCAAGATCTCTATAATCCTTGAACTAATCAATCACGACTACATATTCTTATACTTTCATTCAAAAAAAAAAGAATACAAACAAAATCGCATGTAACCTCCAAAATTTTAAATAGAATTCGATGCCTATTTCTACCATAGAATATTTCATCATTATTTACCTAATTTTCCAATTTCATTGCAATACGCATCTCCCCTCTGAGAAAATCTTTAAAATCTTCTGGCACCCATAATTGTAAGCCACAGATGAACAATTTTCTACAATCCCCTAAATACCCTAAAAATTTATTATATACCTGCACCATGCATTTTTAAATTAATTTGTAAATTAAAACACATATTAAACTCTTAAATAAATAAACTAAATAGACCAAAAAGAGACCCAATTATAAGAAGCTCAGTGTACATTTTCGTTTTAAAAACTTTTCTCAATTATCCGATTTCTAGTTCTTTATCATTTTCTAGTTAAATACCAATCTCCGTGTCGCTTTTCTGGGACTCACCTGCATGGCGTACGCCTTGCGCCACTTCATGATGTGCTCTGTTTGAAAGCGCACTTTGGAGCGCAGCTCCTCGATGATGGCCCTTGCTGTGTGCAGGTCCTTTGGGTCCTGATTCATCATGTTCAGGCGCAAGTTGCTTGTGTGCGTCGAAACAGGCACCGGCGGTGGCCATTGAAATTCCAACGGGGGCTGATTTACATCCGTTGGCAGCGAGCCCCTCGGCTGGGCCGATGTCTTGCTTGATTTCGGTGTGGAGGGCACAGTGCCCGCTCCACTGGAGCCGCCTCCACGTCGGACATCAGGAACTATTACTGCCACCGCTGCTGCTGCTGCTGCGGCTGGTGCTGCTGCTGCTGCGGCTGGTGCTGCTGCTGCTGCGGCTGGTGCTGCTGCTGGTGCACCACTCGACGAGGATGAGGATGAGGTGGTTGCTGTCGTCGTCGTCGTCGTCGTAGTCATCGTCGTCATGGCTGTGGCTGCGGGCTGTGCTGCGGCTTGCGGCTGCTTCTGTATGCTGCATGCCATGCTGCTGATGGTTTTGGCAAATTGTGTCGCTCGCCCGGCATACATTTGGATGCAAGGGAGATTGGGGTTTGCAGGAGCAGGAGCAGGAGCTCTAAAACTATTGGATGTGTGCTATCTGGGGCTTGGCCAGCATGCAGCAAGCCGTTGGCTCCTTCGATGGGATGTGTGTGTGTCCTGGCAGCTGTTTCTCCGTCTTCTCCCTCGATGGCTGGATGGATGTGTGCACTGGCCCGTTCTTGACTACGTGATTTGTGTGGAGGGCTCTCCTGCAGCTTGAAAGGAACACAAAACAGAAAAAATAAAAATAAAATAAGCATAAGTGTGGCACATGTTTTATTAATAGCCCAATATGTGCACACACATCGTTCATGGGGGCATGCAACCCACTAACTTGTGGTGCATATCTACTTGAATTTTTTTCCATTTTTCCTTTGAAACTATCAAAACGTCATGGTTCCATTAGTTTTATTTCATTGCATTGAATTTTCGGTGAAAGTCCGTCAAACGAATTCCGGATGAAGCATACGCCCTGTATGTCGCCTGCCACTCGACAGCTGTTTGCCAGAGAATGCAAATTTCATCACAGCCCAGAGAACTCGAACTCGATTCCGAACTCAAACACCAACAACCCAAATCGAATCGAAAATGTCATTATCCAAAATTAGTTATTCATTAAATTCACATTAAAATACGACAGATTCAGCGGAAAATTTATCCATTCCAGCATTTGCAATGTTTTCATTCCTTTAAACAATTATAATTATTCATTTATATGCATTTCCAGATTTTGATTACATTTTCGTCTGGGGCTAATTCAAGCACACACCTCCATGAAAATTATGAGAGTGGAGTGGACACTCTTTATTTGAGTGTTTTCCAGGGCGGAAAATGCTGACGCCAGGCCCAAAATTATATGGGGTTTTATGCGATTTATGACTGGCAAGCCAATTAGCCAGAAATGTAGTTGAAAAACCATTTGGGAAATTAGAATAGTTTGCAGTTTAAGGAGAAAGGTTGGTGGGTACGCATAAATCAAAGCAAAAGCAATTCCGAGAGGATTATATTATTCCTTGGAAAATGCAATTAAAATTTAATGCAAGCCGAGGGGTAATCGCATCTGAAGATAACAATTAAGTAATTATCCTTCCCGGCAAAAGTATCTTGAAATTTAACGACTCAACGATTTGGCTTCTCTTTTAATCAGGTTGCAAGTGCAACCCCGCGGGGCCACTGCTGCAGTGCTGCAATGCTGCGGGAGGTTCGTAATGAATTTCGGAGAAATAATTCCACTAAGCTGCTGCGCTTTTAATCCACAGAACAAATTGAAATTATCTGTTTAATCTGTTTTCTGTTTTGTCTCTCTCGGCCAAGGAGAAACATTGCCAAGAAAATGGCTAAAGACAGCCACAACAACCAGAGAGAGAAGAGACAACGAGGCGGAGGCAGAGGCACGCCAAAAGGAAGACAAAGTGCAGGGAACGAGAAGCAACAAATGCCAAAGAATGAACAACATTTTTAACATTTTAATTTAAAATAACTTTTCAGCTTTAATTTGTGTCTTGAATCAGGAAAACGTGTAAGACAGACAGCCAGACAGGCAGACAATCAGAAGATCCACAGAACATGGAATTAAACCCGTCTTTAGAGAGTGGTGGAACCCCCTCCCCCTTTAGAGAGTGCTTCCATTCTGGCTAAATAGCGCTCCAGAGTCGTCACTTCACAGAGGATGATTGACTTAAGAACTTCCGTTTCCACAAGCCACAAAAGAATGCCACAAGAGTGGGGGAATTCCATTGGAATGCAGTTGGAAGGAAAGGCAAGAGAAGGCAAGAGAACATGCAATTGAAAACAATTAACAAATATGCCAGACGGGAAAGGCCCTGGGACACGCAACAGCAGAGCGGAGTTCTGGAGATGGCAGCGTGAGGCCTCTCTGTACCAACGCCTGAAGAGATTGTACATACATATTATTTGACCCACGCCGACCCTTCAGAAATATACCGAATATACTGGGCAATACAGTACTAGTGGGAGCGAGAGAGAGAAAAGAAAACAAGAAATATATTCCGTTTTTATATGCTGGACCGATCAGCCGAATCGAATGCAGAAAATACTTTGCTTTCACTTGCTCCTTCGCCTCAAAAAGAAGGCTGTTTGTCTGTTTATTTCAATCAGAACTATTCCCTCAGCAATTAAGAGAGTTTCTGCCTCTACATCAGATTTCTGTGTCATCAGAGAATGTGTTATTGAGTTATTTGGACTAAAAACTTACAAACATACAGCATGCGTCTACATATTTTTCTTCAACGATGAAACTCGTTCTTACATTCAATTTTGAATGTTGATTTTTCCACTGTCTAGAATAGCTTATTTTATTGTTATTTTGTATCTGTTGTAATGGTCAGTTTTATTTAGTTTTACTCTGGTTACACCGCATTTTATTGACCATCGTTACGGTAGAGGCCACCAAGGGTCGGGATCCTATTACCAATAATTCACACACGCTTCAGGCCGTATTTTGGATGAGCTAATTTGCTTTGAACATATCCAAAGGATGTAAGTATTCCAAATATAAATTTAACAACTACCAAATTACAATACAATAAAATACCACAATAGAACACACCCCCATGGCTCGGTGGGCGAACTTCTCATATACATCTATCTACCTCAGGCTATCACATCCTCAACCTGCAACATTCCTCAATAAATAAGTGAAATTCTGGTTTTTATTGAGAGACTTTTCAACGAGTTTTGATCTCTTTTATTAGCAAAGATCTTCCACTCATTTTTGTACAACTTCCTTTCTGATTGAACAAAAGAATAGAGGGAGAGGGGGCTCTAGTTACCAATGCAATGATCACAGCGTGCCCAGAGATTGAAGACGGGGGACCTGGTGCTAAAAGCAGCTGCGTTCAACCTGCTCACGCACACTCATCTTCTTAGGGAATATACTATGAGGGGTATATGAGGGGCAACTCCAGAATGATTGACTTCTGAAGCCCTGCTGCTCTCACGCTCTCATCTCTAGAAAGAGTGGAAGAAATCCCGAGACGGACGGCCTGTTGCATTCATTGCCCATCCACGTCTGACACAATTCGCCAACTCATTCATCATTCTTAATTATGACAATTGCAGAACCACCGCACAATGATGATGGGATGATCGGATGATGGGAAAACTCCTCGTTCTCACCTCATGTCTTGGGTCCTCCCAGCTCGTCTCTCGTCTGATGTCTGAGAAATTAAATGCGGCTCACGTGCCCATTAGCCTTGGTAATGGGAGCTGCCTGTCTGTTCAGCCTGCCCTATGGCCAAAGGCCACCACTTCATTTGGTCGTTCAATTCATGGCCGACCACTCGAAAGGCAATGCCTTAATTAAGAACCTTCTGGTCTGTAACTGGATTATGCAAACACTCTGATATCCCCCACAGCCACAGAGCCAGAGCCGGCTCGGAAGCAATCAATCAGGCGAACAGAGAGGTCTCCAGGCTGTGGTGTGGTGTCAAGAAGTGTTCTCAATAATTCCACCTCGATGCGGTTCTGTGGCAAAATGTAATTGAAATGTGACCAAATTATTTTCGAGCTGTCCATACAATTTGTGGCAATTATGACAAGGCCAAGAGAGCAAAATGTTCACACATGCTCTGACAGCTCTAAAGCTTTCCACTTTTCCGTACATTTCCCCAATTACGAATGCCAGACGGCCTGACGCCTTGACAGAGACACAACCCTCGCTGCTTTCTGGGATGGAGGCTATTTTTGGTCCAACAAATGTGCGAAGACCTTGAAAAATTGAGGCTTTGCCTCTAGGGATGGCACAATGGTTCGATATTTTGAAGTTTTATTTAAAGATCTTTGAGATATAAAGATATTTTGTAAGAATATGAAAATTGGAAATAATCTTAAATATCTCCATTTCTAGATTAAGTTTCAGCGCCTTCCACTTTATTTTTTTTAACCATTTCAAGTCATAGAAAAATGCCTCGCTTTTTCTACATTTTTTTCGATATTTCTGTCGATTTTAGTATCGATTTCTTTCCGCACATCTCTAGTTTAGCTGGACACACAATTTCTGTGTGAAAACAGTTTTGATGTCCAGCTAATTAATTACATAACTATCCCCCCCCCCACAGTTTTTTACCTCTCTCATGCTATCCCCTTCAAATACCCTTCCCTCAGAGACTGTACCCCTCTCTCTCTCGCTCTGTGTGTACCCCTTTCTCCTGTCGTGCGTAGAGCTACCGCAATTGGATTTATGTGTTAAACGTGATTTTTACACAGTTTTTACACCGCTTTGGGCTACGAGACCAGAAGCCGAAAGGCAAACACACAAATAAAGTGGAGGCCCCCGACCCATCAGGGGTAAGTAAACACCCTCACACACTACACACACGCGCGGAGAGGACACCCATCATGTAGGGAGCCTGGGAAATTATACAAACACATGAAGGATGGAGAGAAGAACCCAGTTCCATTCCCAGGACCAGTGCTGGTGACTTTTCCACGTTTTTTGTGTGTTTGTTTGTTTTCACCTTGACCGCGAGAGACCAGGGAAAGCCAGAGGAAAACATGAAAGGAAATTGTGTTAATGATGTTAAACGACAGCCCCCATACAGACCCCTAGAACCCATTTAAGCGGACAGTTCTTCCCTATCATTATAATAATTTGAAACACTTTTCCTTTTTAGGTTTTTTTTCCCCTTTCCTCTAAGGGTTTTGCTTCTACTCCTTGGCTTTCCTTTTACTCTCTTGGGTTTTTCCTTTCTGAGTGATATGTTAATGAGCTTGTAATTTTGCTGGAAAACTATGTTTTTAAGCAGTGAAACTTTCCCGCAAGAAGCAACATTTCTCTCTCTGTTGTGGTGTTTGTCTCTCCTGCTAGAGAATTTAGTATGCCTGAGGTCCTCTCTATTATCGGGGCGACAGGTGCTCTAAATCCAGGAGACCAAGCCCCAGGGAGGCACGGCCTCATCATGTGAAGGCGAAGACTTTCTCCCCTTCAGTGTCTCTCCCATCTGTTGGGGGGCTCCCCCTCCTCTCTACTTGCTTTTATAGGCGAAACGTGACCGTAATAAGCCATTTCACACGCAAATATACGCACGCAGCCCATTCGCAGGGAAAAAGAAGCCTCTGGCTCTGGCTCTGACTCTCCTTTCTTCGAGAGGCAGGGAAAGCAAGTGAAATGCGAACGAAAGTGCATTAAATATTTACACAATCAATAAAACATATTTTCGTCTGATGGCGTCTGCCGTTCCTTAGTTTTTTCTAT